TTTTGTTGCATGTCATTGCATTACGACGTTCCTCGAGGGTGCGTCACAAATGCAGTGCCAGCCGCAAGATTCTAGCATTCTTAGCGAATGTTTATCTAGCAGCCGCCTGAAACATTCCTCGGATGGCTAGTCTGCAATTTCTTCCGGTAGGCCGTTCCAATAATTTACCACTCTAGTGGATAGGGTGACATCTATTCGAATTCTGCGTCTTGTTTTCTTAAACTGTTGCCATGTGTGACTTCTTGGGGAACAGTCAGTGTTGGGCCAGAAGAACGGTTGTAAATCACTACCAAGTTCCCCTTTGAGGATGGGCTTAGTGTAGATGTGATCCCCCCCGGCGACGGCGGAACTCCAGACAGAACAGTTTTGTCTGCTAGAGTCTAATAAGGTACGGGAGATCCCGAAGCCCCAGAACAGCTTTCGATGCACGTCTCTGAACCATTTCCAGCAGAACGCATTTAAAGGTTGAAAGCGGATGGATGGCTGGTAGGCTATATTCTAAGGCTGGACGGAGGTATGAAGTGGAAAATCCTAAGAGTCAATCGAGCGAATGACCTTCTTAAGGTACCCACCAGTCTCCTTCCAATGGCCACCTTCTTCAACATGTCCTGCGTCGTTCTAAGGTCAAAAGTCACGATAACCCCCAGATCTCTGTCGTGAGTGATATATTAGATGAGAAAACCACCAATGTGATATGCACCGTACTGTTCAGTGCTACCCATTGGGAGGAGAGCGCATTTATCTCGGTTTACTGGTCCATTCGTGTAGCTGGCCTAGATCCCTTGTAATCTGTCCCCATCCTCAAGGCTGGATACTGTTGGACATAGCTTAAGGTCATCGGCGTAGTTCAAACAGTCGGTTGGAAGTGTAGTTGACAGATGGTTGATGCACAGTTTGAAGAGCTCTTGTCCAAGCATTGATCCTTGGAGAATGTCACTAGTCATAGGCACTGGAGCAGAGAGGGTTTGGTTCACTTGTACGCGCATTGTCCTACCTCTTAAGAAATTAGTAATCCAGGAGAGAAGATTTCCTGTCATGCCAATTCCCTGGAGTTTATGTAGCAGTCGTACGTGTGGAACTTTATGAAAGGCTTTAGTGAAGTCAATGAATATTACGTCAACCTGTTTTCGGACATCTAGAACTTCTACCCATCTTTCCCTGGCAATGTGTGCGTTAGAGGTGCATGCGCGTGCTCTCCGGAAGCCATGTTAAGTGGGTGCGATGATGTTTAGATCAACACAGTGTAGCTGGAGGGCGCGCTTGACTATTGGTTCCATGGTTTTGCATACGACTGATATCAGGCATACCGGCCGGTAGTTCGCTGGGTCTTGTTGGTTTCCCCCTTGTATTTGGGCAGGACGGTAGCTGCTTTCCAGCCTGCGGGTAGGCGGCCGACTTCGGGGGAGTGCCGAAATACTTGGCAGAGGGGGGTGCCGATGTAATCAGCTATCTTTTTTTGGGGAAGGTGGTATGCAATCCGTCCGGACCTGGGGAGGAGTTCGGGTCAAGTTGGAGGATTAGCTTAGTGACTACCTCGGGGTTAAGTTCAACTTGGTCCAGAGAGGAGTAGTGTGCAGGCAAACAGTTGTTGAGCAGCTGAGGTTCCACTGAGTAGACCGAGGAATATTGCACTGCAAGTAGGTTTGCTTTTTCGTCATCGCCGTAGAGAACGGTACCTTCCTTAGGAGAGGATAGAGCGGGGATTCCACAACCCGTTATATCATTTTGCTTTAGATGGGGGAGAAGATTTTGGGAGCTCTTGGATACCATGGCCAGTCCATGTTCACAGTGTAGTCTTTTGGCTCGTATTTTCCGTGTGCATAGCTTTCTACGTAGATTGATATCTGTTCTGTGCTCTTAAATTGATCCCGTAGTTTCCGTCGTTTTTTCATTAAGGATCTTGTTTCTTTATCAAGCAATGGGGGTGGTCTGCTCTTGCAGTTTTGAAAAAATTATTCAAGGAGCTGGATCCTCTTAGATCGTAGGCGTTCGAATGCGTCATCCAGCTCCGAAGATTGCAGAATACGCCAGTTCAGGTTGCTTGCAGCCGTTGTTAATCTGAGCTGCTCAGTGTGCCAGAAATTTCGATGAAGCGTCACGTGCTCGTGGATTGTGAGGCGCCGTGTCCACGAAAATTAGACTGTACAATGAGCACATCCCGAAAGTTTGGATACTGGTTAGATCTGCGACATCAAATGGGGCCAAGGAGAGAACAAGGTCTAGAATGTTTGTTGTCTGACCAGGGACCATCTGTGTTGCTGTTAAGACATGTTGTCTCAGGTTGCACTCGTAAACAGTATCAAAGAGATCAACTTCAAAGGAGTCCGGTGGAATATCACTGTGAAGAAGGGTTCAGATTTTGCAAGAGGGCGTTGAAGGCATCCGTTAGGAGACAGTTTTGCTTCTGCTGTTGGTTCCACTGGGTATGAGCCAGGTACTTCAGGGGCTCTGTTGACCACTCCGACCATCAGCGACTGGGATCTGTCATGAATTCCCCACCGGAGCATTTCTGACGCATCATGCTTATCATAACCGGGTTCCACAATGTGTGCTATGAGGCAGTTCATTGAATAGAGGATTAGTCCTCCTCCAGACCTCCCACAAAAGACATCGCATCGAACCAGCTGATGTCCTGAAACGTGAGCCTCCGAGTCAGATATAACCGATGACAGCCAAGTTCCGGTAAACGCCACTAGGTCCGGTTGCTGTTCAGAGATAAGGAGTGGAATCTTATCCAGCTTGTTTTTGAGACTGCGCAGGTTTACGAGTATCACTCGCAATCTGTCCTTTAGGTTTGAGCTCCGAAGAGAAGGAGGGCTGGCCTTTATTGAACTCTGAGATTTTCTTGCTGCGCGGTAATACACAATGTGTGGATCTGTTTTTCCATTTGCTCGTCGGCTTCGCAGCTCGCAAGCAGCTCGCCTCATCCTGACTCGGTCCTAGGGGGAGCGGTCTTGCAGCCCGTAGCAAGTTTCTCCCTTGAGGCTCGGGGTCCATCTCAGGATGCTTTGGCCTTCTTCTTCATCCTGCTAGACAACCTTTAGAGGACGAAGCTTGGATGGCTCCTCTCTTTTTCTGCCGAGGCGAAAAGCAGAGCCCAGGTTTGTCCCTTGCTCATCCTCATCAAACAATATGATCAGTCGTTTGAAAAAGGCTTGGTAGTCAAGTAACCTTTCAGCTGGAGTCCATTTGTTGGATTCCGGGACGTTTGTGATTATCAGGCAGCGGTTTCGAGCAGACGGCTTGTTTCGTTCCAGTGTTGCTGGCTTTTGTGGGCACTGTTTTCTTTGACCAGTTGCTTAAGCTGCGCTACTCTATTTTAGCCGAACTTTAGTTCCTCCTTTTTGTTGTTTGATTTCACCTTCGGCCGTGAGGATATCTTCATCGAGGCTTTGTTCTCAGCTGTAGTTATCCGCGATTTTTGCTGAGGTGTTGGCGCTCGCAACTGCGACATAGGACTTGGGCTTGTCCATCAACCCATAGTCTTTCTCACTGAGCAACGGTGTTAAGTCCAACGTAGTGGAGGGCGCCCAGCTTCATTTTCCTTTCGGTGTAGAATACCCAGACCCAGGCAGAGACCCTGATTTGATAGGCGTCTCGCTGTCCGTGTTACAGACGGCTTGCGCAGTAGTAGTACGTAGGTTGAAAGGGTTCCTCAGAAGATGCATATTGCTGACCAGTGCTAGACACGGGTCACAGTGAAAATTGACTCCTTTAGATGTAGTGCGCTGAAGACATTGATAAAGATCCTTATCAATGTTACAGCAAACTATGTGTATCCACTTGTCGCACAGTGCGCATTGGAGGGCCTTTGAACGTGAAGTGACAACCTTCCTACAGTCCAAGTACTTGGATGTCATATTCCGAGAGGAAATTTTGACAACAGGCAACTTTGTCAAAAGTCGATTAAAACACTTCTTCACGAGAAATTTATCTAAAAGACTCGGAAGTATATCCCACTAGAAAGTGACGTTAACGCGTAGTACTCACAGATTTGATTTCCATCCACATACTTGGTTGAACGTGGATTTAGCAGAGTGTTTGCTCTAACAAATCTCAAAACAGATTGGACATCACAGCAAAAGGAGGTATTTGACTCCCGCTGTCGAGTCTGGAACCGGACAAATGCAAGCTTACTCAAATACCTCAGGCTCAAAGCTTGCATTTATATTCCGACAAATTGTTGATAAGAAATTACTATACCGCTTAATTCATGACGTGCTTTACAGTTAAAGTTAACAGTACTTAACTAAAGTATCAAGTATTAATGATGACATTTGTGTAATTGCAGATAAGTGGTTTGATGTTATTGCAAAAGGATTGTTATCGTGAGGATGTAAAAGTCCAAAAATGAGGTTTATAAAGGAAAGAGCAGTGCTATCAGCATTAACAATTTGGCCATCATAGTAAAAGATACTAAGTTGATAACTGGAAATCATAGATTTGGGTCTGGCATTGCATGCTGCTGAAATTGTGGCGTACGAAGGTGGGGGTCACGAGAAATAGAAAGGTACGAAAGGGGGGCCACGCTTGAATAAAGCTTGAGAATGCCTGCCTTTAGTGATACTTTGATGCGCTGTTTTCAGTCGGTTAAGTCTGACAAGGCCTCTACATACTTCACTTTATCTGGGACTGAATCTGACTGAGCAGCAGTTTCCATCCATCTCTAAGCCTTAAACTGTTAAACTAATTACTGAAACGGTGAAAGACAAACTGATACGATAGCATTTTTTTCTTAACGTTTTGGTAATGTAATGAGGCGTTTAGGGGGTGCCACGTAGCAACAGTACGAATTGCAATGGATACCAAGACATGAGTATGCTAGCACTATACTAGTAGCAATGGGTTGCACCTGAGATAGACTCCCACTGTCTCCTGCTGTCCAAAACGGTTTCAACGACACTATATCGCAACCAATCTATTTGTACCTAAATGAAGTCCAAAACGATAATTTACTGAAGAATAAACCGTGGTTTTATTACTTCTTTAAACTAATTTAGGGTCGGAGTGGCAAACCAAAAGAGGCTCTGATAAATCTTCGACCGGAAGACCCCTGGAAATTGTTTCGGAATTACTTTCCATCACACATACGAAACCATCATTCCAAGATTTTCTATCTCAGGCAGTGACGATTCCAGATGTTGTCCCAATGGAATCGCGGAATGTCGTGCTCCAGATAGCTCGCGCGTGGCGCTCAAAAATAGGCGCATCCGCACCAGGTAAACCATTGTCGGCAAGGAAGCGAAAACCGGGAAAGAAACACCATTCTGCAACATCAGATATTTATGAAAGTTTTGCGAGTATGAACAATCCGAAAGGCACTGACGCAAACGGAGCATATTTTGCAAATCAGTTTGAAGCAATTTCCAGTACATCTCCAACATCAGGCGGTAATAAAAATGATACCTGGTCAATTGAAAAGGAAGAAAGCAACTACAGTGACGAAAATTTAGAGGAGTCGGACGAACAATCAGGCATGTCTCCACGCTTTCATAAGAATCCATTGGTAAGGCATGGTAGACATTTTTATTAGTGAATACGAAGAAAAGTCAATGTATATGCTATGTGTTGTCGGAGATAATTGCATAAGCAAGTGATCTTCCTAAACAAGATGAAGCGGATATACTCGGAAAATAACTGAAAATCACCGGCTAGAACAGACTTAAATAACTGGTAATAAATTGAGCATAAGTCTATCCATGGCTTAATAATATTCAGGAAATATATATCTGTTGATGACACTGGACTGACTGGACAGAAAAAGTGGAGGCTGGCGCATAATGTTAGGTTGCTTACCTAGACTACTTTTAGTCATTCAACTAAAAGCCATCGCATCCTACTAGCCAAGCTCCAACAATACCGCATTGTTGATCCCCTCCTAGGGTGTTTTAGCAGATTCCTCTCTCACAGGCGTCTAAAAGAGGAACTGTGAACTTGTACCCAATCTTTACCAAGTCGAATGCGATGTGCCGGAAGCTCCGATATTGGGGCCCTCTTTGTTCTTGATCTTTATCCACCATCTAGTAAACTTAGGCACTTTAAAGTGCTTACATTACGCCAGTAACACCAAGGTTTGGCGGCTGCTTATGGTGCTTGACGACGACGTGTAGCTTCGAAACGATCTCATTAAGATTAATGAGTGGGTAATCTATAATTATCTCCAATGTAACATAATAACATAGTAAGTCTTCCATCCACGACACCAAACGGTTCACACTTATGAACATTGTATTCTTAAAAAAGCGCTCGGTGTGTTGGTCCGGAGTACTCCGAAATAGTACCAAGAAATGGTATCCAAAACGTGGAATACGTACGGAGTGAGCTTGTTCAGTTTGACCCATGTATGTCCTCCCAAAGACATTCTGCATACATACGCCCTCACATGGAATATGTGATTCAAGCATGGCATCCATAATATAAGCCGGATCTCACTGTCTTAGAGATTCCACAATGTCGGAACACCAACAGCGTCAAAGGGCTGTATCATTACCTTACAAACAGTGACTGTGTTCGCAATTTCCCGTAAACTGCATCGGCATTTTGCGACAGAACCTTGTCATGATTTGCGAGATTTTAAGCAAACCCTATCATTTGTGCCATCATTTGATAAAGTTTGGCAGCACAATACAGCGGTCTGGCGTGTAGACGGGATTGCATCTGACTACGTATCTGGTACACACGGAATTTCCTCCCAGGGTTTGGTATTTGGTCCCGTACATTATATACTATCAAAGGTCTTGTCGACAAAGCGCTGGCCACATTACACCACAAATAACACACAAGAACTATACACACTTTCAGTAAACCAAGGCGTATAAACCCACACCCGTTTCACTGGGAAAACCAAATGTGGACATCTTTCAAAGCACATAAAACCATATGTGTACGATTCAGTCGGATAACATGTTGACCGGCAACTACACTGTTTTTAAGTCCTCAATGTCTATAGCCGTTTTCTTGCTTTAACTACCTCACCAACCCCCTGGTTGGACATGCTAAGTTTCAGCATGTGTATTCCCGATAACCAACTGCTAACCACCCGACTCCTGCGTTGTTTGCTCGCCACAGGTGGGGATGGAAGAAGAGGAGGGGTGGCCAAGCGATGGCTTGGTCAAGAGAAACGAAGGTCCTTACTTCGAAGTTACTTCGGTTGGAGCCTGTCAGCTTCCTGATTGGGGACCAAAGGACCATGAATAAGTTTGGCTGGATAAACTTGTTGAAATTGCTAGGAGCCGATCTCATTGGCGTTTGTGTTATGAGCGACTTTTTTCTTCCCCCTCCAGATAAACCTCAAACGGGGATCTCATTTATTATGCATAATATAACTCTTTTGCGGTACAGTAACTGGCTGTTAGCTCTCCGGAAAGATGTTCATCCGTTATTGGTGACGCAACCGGCGTGCCTGTGTGGCATGGTTTTTCTTTTGTATTAGGGCACAATAGCTGAGGTGTTTTCCACCTGTAGTTAACGTGTATAATGATGAGGACCATACAAAGACCAGTTGTATAGCTTTTTAGACACTTCAAGTAAAGACGGTTGGGTCACAAGAATGTGTCCACTCTTTGGGTGCAGCTCTGCGAACGGCCACCAAGTTATTGCAATCATTTATTTTTGTGTTGCAGATTAATCCATAGAAGAACACAACACCATTTCGATGATATCTGATTACTGCACACAAAATGAGGATGTAAATTGCTTAAAATGAGCCGAGTAATTTACACGGAAGTAGTAAAAATCTGCAGGCGAAGTACCCACTTGTTGAGCAATGTGCACACCGGTATATCCTGTTTACAATATACCTAATATGGTTTGTTGCTGTTGCTCACGGATGAAAGCTGCGAGGTTCGTTTCTCTCTCATGGATTCATAGTAGAGCAAAAAACAGCAGCGATCTATTTTCTCTTGGTCCAGGAAAGATAATCGTGTAGTATTTATCCACTATGCAAACACCATTAGAGAAATGAAATGGTGTGCGTGATGGAAACGTTAGACGAATGATACCTAGCGCCATGAGCTCTGTTTAGACAAACATAGCTGTGCGGATAATGTTGCCGGTAAGTAGTAGTACAAATGTGATGAAGGTCTAGCAGTTTGAGGGTCCAAAGAATGTTGTTGACTCAAAATAAGGGTCTATAACAATTGTCACGTTTGCAGTTCAACAGTGATCATCATCATCATTATACATGTTAGCTAGAGGTGGGAAACGCCTCAGCTACTGTGCCGCAATATATACAAGGAAAAAGGAGGAAAATGCCACAGATACAAGCCAGCTGAGCAACCGGGAACCGATGGGGATCGTTTCGGTAAACTACCAGCCGGCTAGTAGGCAACGAAAAAGTTACAATGCAAACTTATATAACGCTAGGTAGTGAGATGGTGGTTGGAGGGGGAGGCTAAGAGGGATGGGGAGGAACAAAGAAACTCACTGCACGAACGCCACTGTGGTCGGCTCCTAGCCATATTAGCAAGTACATCCAGATTAACGTGCTCATCGGCTTTTGGACTCCAACGAGGGAGCTGAGACACTCCAACCGAGGAAAACTTCGAAGTGAGGGCCTTCATTCCTCTCGATCAAGTCATCGCTTGGCCACTTCTCCAATTCTTCCAACCACACCCCCGGCGCGCAAACAACGCACGTCGCGGGAGTCGGTGGGTTGGCGTGCGCAACACGTGGCCGAGCCATCGAAGCCTGGTGCGTGAAATGACGATGCTGAGCGGTTCATTTCCTTTCCTTGTGCCGTAAACAAGGTGTGGAACAGGCTCTCTGCTTACGCGGTGTTCCCACTAAATGTGAGCTAAATTGCGAAGGCACCGATGGTTGAACGTAACTTGCCTCTTTGTTTCGGCTGATCTAAGGGGACAGGTTTCGCAACCGTACAGTAAGGTGGAACGTACCGCTGCATTATACACTCTACCCTTCAGGGCGAGAGTGATGTCGCACCGCTGCCATAGGTGGCTAAGACTAGCAAAAGCACTTCAAGCTTTTGATGTTCAGTTCGTGATCTCATCTTCAATCCCAAGGACACTGATACAATTTCCCAGGTAGTTGAATTTTTGAACCACTTCTAGCTGATCCCCAACAAGAGTTAGCGCAGGAGACGATCCCTGCAAATCTTGGGGGAAAACTTTACAATCCGATGTTGCCAAGTAAAGCCCGAAGCGGCTGACAGCCAGTGTTAATCTGTCTGGTGCAGATTGGCACGTTTGGGAGCTGTCATAGATGAGGGAAATGTGGTCTGCATGCTCCAAGTCAAGAAGTCGTTCTCCTGGGAGTCGCTCCACACTTTATAAGTCGTGTCCTGTAAATGCAATCTCCATGACTTTGTCAATAGCAAAGTTGGAGAGAATAGGTGAGAACCGACATCTTAGTCTCACACCGCTGGAGATATAAATGACGAGGACAACTTACCGTAGCCGCTCACTCTGCCTGAGCTAAGCGCATAGAATGATCGGATGATATGTACATATTTCTCAGGTATACCTTTCCTGAGTAGACAGTTCCAGACTGCACGTCTATCTCCGAATCGAATGCACCGTTGATGTCGAGGAACACAACTAGGTTGGGCGGTCAAAATATGTGACGGTGCTCCAACAATTGACGCAAACAGAAGATGTGGTCAAGGCAGCCACGACCTCGACGAAACCCGGCTTGCTCTTCGCGAATATGGATTTCCAGAGTGCCAGTTGTAAAAAGTCGGTCCTTCAGGGACAACACGTATATTCTGCAAACAAAAGCACCAGGCGAAAACGCAGGCAGAGGGCGAGTGAAACATATCGGTATATACAGCTAGTTGGATCCATAATTAACGACCTTTGTGAATGCATGACATTTTCCTTTGATTCAGTCAAACAAACTCACTCCAATGCGTCCAACTGTTGGCCAGTCAGCGTGCATGCGAGAAACGTGTGAACGTCCAATCAGCTGCCGCCTTTCCTTGCGGCAGCCTAACGGCTTCCTTGCTGGGCTGGCACCGCACGTTCGTTCGAGTGTATACTCCCATCACACCAGTCAGTCTGTGAAGGACGACAGGGCAAGCATTTTGGATGCGATGGGGATCCAGCTGATTCCTCTATGGTTGTCGCATTCTAATCATGAGTCTCCCTTGGAAATTGGAACTATGACGGAGCGGCTCCAGCCGGTTGGGACAGTTCCCTGCTCCCACAGTGTCACTAGTAACTCATATATATCATCCACAACAGCAGGTTCCTTGAACTTAAAGAGAGCTGGAGAAACATCGTCTGTTCCCGCGGCTTTATATCATTTCAACAGTACGATCTCATGTTCAAATTCTGAGCGAGAGGGCGGATTCAAAGGGACAGCCCACGGAGCAGGGAGAGCAGTGGCCGGTGAGGAATCGAACAATTCCGACCAATTAAATTTCCATTCAAAATGCTCAGCCCAAAGCTCCAAACGTTTTAACCAATTGTGGATAGACTGTCCACCCTCGTCACATATTGTTTCACTAACACCAGGTCTCCTGCTGCCCGATTCCCGTATCAGCCGGAA